ACATTTTTTTCCTAGCAAAAATGCCTAGTCCCTAACTCTGACCCTAACTTCCTCACTCTTTCCTTTCAACCCTATTTAAAAATTAGCAATGGAATGACATTTAAAGTGTTGTTAATATGCTGGTGACATAATATACCATACAGTTAAAAACATGGGAACAGGATGGAGTTTATACCACCAAAGTAAGGATTTAGGTTGGCTGAACACAGAAATAAACATGCAGTTCACATTTGGAAGGCTTCTTTAGCAATCGTGGACTTGCTATTATCTTTAAAAACAGTGAGTTTCTGAAAAATCTGCCTCTATTAGGCAGAAAATTATAGACAGAATAAGCATTTACCAACTACTTTTAATTCACTTTCTAACCCTGGGTTTGTGCAGTACCCATGGATGAAAAGATCGGGTGGTTGACCTAAGAGAACAGCTGATAACCTCTTTTTTGTGTAGCATGGGGCAGTAGATCCAGAGTTAGGTTTTCATGGATTATAACTCTGGATCATTTAGTCGGACCTCCTGCATTAACATGGTCCATAGGACTTCTTTGAATTAATTACTGTTTGAACTACAGCACACCTGTTGGGGAAAGTCATCTAATCTTGGTTTTAAATTTCCCAAAGAATCAACCACAACCATTGGATTCCAGTAGTTTCTTACTCTCACTCATAGAATGGTGCAATTCTGAGCTGATTCTAGCTTCAACCTCCAACCATTTGGTCACTTAGACCAAAAATCTCTCTCTCTTATCAAATTTCTGTTTCCTGTGAAGGTGCTGTGATGATCAATTATAGAGCCAAATTCAGCAGCAAGGGTAGGCAGGGAAGCAAGCAACAGAACACAGACGTGTACCTGAGGATGGCCAATGCTGCAGGAAGAAGAGTGCTTTAACTTTCTCTTTGATGAGCTAAACAGATTGATTCAAGGAAGCCATTCACATTGACATGTTTCCATTGTGGACAGCTGCCAGCCACAACACCCATGTGGAAAGCTCTGAGAGATTCAGATCTGAATCTATCCTTTCCAGAACCTGAGCAAAGCAATACAACACTAAGCAGTAGTACTATCTTAGGGTTAGGCTCAACATACTTCCAAAACCAAATGAAAACATTAAACCCCAAAGTGTAATTATTCCTTCTACATGGATGTAATGCCTTTTAATCTGCCTTAAGCAGATGAAGGTGTAGGCTGTGTGCATAGTGCACACTATTTAACTATGAGACATGAGCAAATGTCTATGACATCAAATGACGATTTAGATGTTTAATTCAACTGGGCAAGGTAAATCAGAAAAATACATTTTGCATAAGGCATAATTATCAGAGCTCTGTGCTGTCAAAAAATAAAATGGATAATTTTATTAACGTGTAACATAAAATTAATTTTTAAATCAAATTAATAGCTTAGAGGCATAGCTGTTTTTATCCTGAGGGTACCTGAAACACTTTTCACTCTCCACTTAGAGGGATCATTCAGCTACCACTGCAATGATGTCAGCTTCTTTTTTTTTTAAATTTGTACTTGACATGTAGATTTACAATACAGTTTTGAACCTGTGGCATATACTAGTCTTAGAGTCTATGAGCAAATCTATGACACACATGTATGTCATTTTATTATCTTTATAATTTTCCTTCTGCAAGTAATAAACAGCATAATAGCATTCAGAGCATTTTTAATTAAACGGATTGAATGCTCTTTCTCGGATAACTTATCTGATGAACGTAACAACTTTTTTATAAAGTTATTCAGTGATTTTTTTTAAGATAATGCTTAATGCTATAGAGCAGTGTTGATGATTTGCACAAATATATTCACAACTAACATTTGTTTGAAGCATTCGATGACTTTCTTTACTCAAGTAAAAAATCTCCACGGGCCACAAATCCTGCATTATGTTACCTGCTTTCAGTGACAAAATTGTAGAGAGGTTAATGGCAACTGTTATTCTATTTGGTATATTTGGCATGAATTACATACTCCTCCCCCCCCCAACACTTCTCCAGCTAATGCATCAGAATCGTGCCAAAATATGGGGAAGAAGCTTTGAAAAAAGTTACTGCTTTAAGTTAGGCAAACTTGGGAGATTACTGCCTCCCCCCACTCCAATACAACGTACAAACTTTAGAGTAGGCAGTATCAGAAGGCAAAGGTGTAACTAGTAAGAGTTGTACCCTTGGCCAGCATGTCCCAAAACTGGTAGATGTTTTCACATTCCCTTACACATGCCCTCTCTGCCTTCTGCCTCAGCCTCCCCTGCTCCAGGTTGAGGCCCACTTTCCAGAGCTACCCTCTGCCACTGAGTGCTTTAACTTTCTCTTTGATGAGCTAAACAGATTGATTCAAGGAGGCCATTCACATTGACGTGTTTCCATTCTGGCAGCTCTTCTCTGAACCTTTCTCTCTTTTTTTCAGTGCCTTGCAGCTCCTATCTTAAATCCTTTCCATCTGAAATGTCTGGTTTCTATATAAACCTTTGGATAAGGGTGTTATATACACTTGAGTCCCTTATGACAGATACAGCATGATTATCACAAATGCCAAAAGCCTGAATTTTAACAAGCTGCCACTCATTCTACAAAGTTGCCAAGATTTATGAAGCTTAGGGAAAGACCGTCACTTTTCTGACGTGATAAAAATGGATTAAGTTCTATTTGCAAGATATGCAGAGCTTGTTTGAAGTTCAGAGTGATTTAGACATAACCCTCTACAAGGGACAGCTCCTACTTCTTTTATTAAAAACAATAAAGCAAAAAAAAAAAACTCCAAAGAAAATGAAAACAACACAATGATGGACAAGGTTAAATTTTGCTTTTTAATCACAGACTGAAACATCATGGTTACAAAACTGATGGTTAGATTTAAAACCACCACACACACATTTCTGTGGGAATAGTTCCCCCCAACACCATCACACTCCCTAGGAGACTAGGGTTTCAAATGAAGAGCAGACTTGTTCACGTTTGCCTTTGGGACTGAACAGTGAATTCCAGGATGATGGCTGATGCTGCAAAGCATTCACCAAAGGATGCTTGTTGGACACACTACATTCTCCCAGCTCCAAGTGGCTACTTTTAGAGACATCTGGATATATCAGAAATCCCAACCATCTTGCAGCTTTCTGTCCAGAGCTTCCTCTGCAGCTCTTCATCATATGATACATCAACAGATTTTGTCCTTTGTTCATTATAAAGATAGGTGCCACCAACCCCTTCTAGCTCTGGTGAAACCGCTGCATAGATGGAAGTTGAGGCTCCTTCCTCTGCGGTCTGTAGAAGGTAGGAAAAAGAAGTAGGATACATATAAATACAGAGCATGTGATTTATCACAACACTACTATCATCAATTAGCTTCTTTTGTACTGTGTCCAGCTTTATTTTTAAGCAAACCTTGATGAAGAAGGAAAGATTCCTTATTTCTAATCAGTGAAATAGTGGTTGGGAGTTTTTTTGTTTGTTTGTGGAGGGGGGTTGGTTTTTTTACACATGATTTTGCTTGAGACAGCTGCAAGCCACAACACCCATGTGGAAAGCTTTGAGAGATTCAGATCTGAATCTATCCTTTCCAGAACCTGAGCAAAGTAATACAACACTAAGCAGTAGTACTACCTTAGGGTTAGGATCAACATACTTCCAAAACCAAATGAAAACATTAAACTCCAAAGTGTAATTATTCCTTCTACATGGATGTAATGCCTTTTAATCTGCCTTAAGCAGATGAAGGTGTAGGCTGTGCGCATAGTGCACCCTATTTAACTATGAGACGTGAGCAAATGTCCATGACATCAAATGACGATTTAGATGTTTAATTCAACTGGGCAAGGTAAATCAGAAAAATACATTTTGCATAAGGCATAATTATCAGAGCTCTGTGCTGTCAAAAAATAAAATGGATAATTTTATTAACGTGTAACATAAAATTAATTTTTAAATCAAATTAATAGCTTAGAGGCATAGCTGTTTTTATCCTGAGGGTACCTGAAACACTTTTCACTCTCCACTTAGAGGGATCATTCAGCTACCACTGCAATGATGTCAGCTTCTTTTTTTTTAAATTTGTACTTGACAAATTTACAATACAATGTAGATTTACAATACAATTTTGAACCTGTGGCATATACTAGTCTTAGAGTCTATGAGCAAATCTATGACACACATGTATGTCATTTTATTATCTTTATAATTTTCCTTCTGCAAGTAATAAACAGCATAATAGCATTCAGAGCATTTTTAATTAAACAGATTGAATGCTCTTTCTCGGATACCTTATCTGATGAACGTAACAACATTTTTATAAAGTTATTCAGTTATCTTTTTTTAAGATAATGCTTAATGCTATAGAGCAGTGTTGATGATTTGCACAAATATATTCACAACTAACATTTGTTTGAAGCATTCGATGACTTTCTTTACTCAAGTAAAAAATCTCCACGGGCCACAAATCCTGCATTATGTTACCTGCTTTCAGTGACAAAATTGTAGAGAGGTTAATGGCAACTGTTATTCTATTTGGTATATTTGGCATGAATTACATACTCCTCCCCCCCCCAACACTTCTCCAGCTAATGCATCAGAATCGTGCCAAAATATGGGGAAGAAGCTTTGAAAAAAGTTACTGCCTTAAGTTAGGCAAACTTGGGAGATTACTGTCCCCCCCACTC